AAAAAAATATTTTTCAAAATAAACTTTTTTTTTTTTTTTTTTTATGAAATAAGAGCCAGACAGTTGTTGACATTTTGTGAGATTCACCTTTACGTCCGTGTTCTCATCTTCAGGGTTAACAGACATGCCAAATCAAAGCCAGTGAGCATGAATGTCATGCTTTTGAAGGGGAGCCATGTTTTGAAAATGCTTTGGGTTGAAAGCTACATGCCATTGTTTAATATTTAGGCAAACTTTTTACATAAAAAGGTGTTTAATATAGTTTCTAACTGCTATTGCTTACACCTACTGCAACTTTTTGTGACTTAACAAATCTAGAGCTTTTCAAGCTTATTTTGCAACTTATTTCTCAGTGTTTCAACACTAGATGGAGACATCTTCTTATCCTTAAAGCAAGACATAATCCCCTTTCTTTCTTTCTGTCCACAGCTCAACAGTAGCTCAGCCCTCTGAGATGCCTCCATCTCCTCTAGTTTGGGAGTAGCTGAGGACGGCGGAGAAGATGGCGTTGATAACAGTGGTGGTGGACATCCCTCCGGCAGCCCGTCCCGCGCCCACCCCTCGCCCTCCTGGACTACTGACCCCCAGACATCCCCAAAACCTGCGTAGCATTTCACTGGAGTCTAGGACTAGCCATGTCGCTGATGTGTGTGTGCGTACTGTAATACTTACTAAATGGAGTTTTATAGAAGCAACCACTGCTGATGAGTTCAAGCGGGACACGGGACGGGTGGGCATGGTCACAGGGGGTCCGTTCGTTCATACCCACTGCTCTGTAGTAGTATACTAAAGGTTTGTGAAGGGTACGAACCTGTACTTTCGGCAGACGAAGTCGAGCCCTGTGGACTTGAATGTATTTTGAACAGCAGGGCGGCAGAATCTGTGCAGTATCCCTGAAGGAAAACTCATCACGACTATGTGTGCGAGTAATCATGCTTTATTTATTCATGGAAACAGGAAGTGCAGTGCTTCATGTAGTATGGAAAGAAGGCAAGTTCCTCTGAATCTGTCTTTCGTTCACGCTAGAACCAGGGTCGCCGTCTAGGGCGAAAAAACACTGTCCTCATTAGTAGCCTATTCATTAGGCCCATCCATATCAATTTGTCCCAAGCCTTGTGAATTTAGGTGATGGCCCTCATGAAAGGTGCGGTCACATTAACCGCTGCTCAGAATTTTGAGGGCAAAATCCAGTTGTTTCAGGATTCTGTGCGGTTTGTGTGCGGGCGAAAAAATTCCTGATGTTCAAGTTGGTCACATGAATTTGCTGCACCAACTGACAGAAAGCTGCTTAGTTTAGAAGTACAGTACTTCGGTGTGTGAGCTGTGCTTAATACATTACGCTATTGACGAAAATCGGCAGCAAAATTGAAATATCACTAGTGTGACCGCACCTTAACAACTGTGACCACTCGTTTGGCTAGAGTGAGCTGCTCATTGCGTTTTTTGCCTTCTACGGCGGTGTGATTTTTACGACTTTCTTCCATTTTTGCTGTCGTCTACACTCTTCCTTTCTTTCTCTGTCGATCTATCTTTGTTCGTATCTCGCTTTCCGTCTCATATTCAACTTTCGTCAGTAAAAAAATCAGTATTCCTTCGCGCAGCACTTGGCAGAGATACTGATTCGTAGGCTTCTCTTAGTACTCCTGAATGTGGATGTGTTGTGTCAGTATTTAGTGCTTTGGGTGGGTGACTGAACGGCACAATGACTCAAAAGGATCCAAAGCATGCAAGATTGGCCCGAGGCAAAATGCTCGTACCGAAAGGGTTTATTTGAAGCGAAGGAGACTTAGTGAGCGTGTCCAGCAATCTCGCAAGTGCTTGTCTCTTACTGAGACTGAAAACCCAACTAGCATGTAGCGAAATGACATGGGGAGGTTTGTTTTCAGATGACCTTTGAACCCTGCTCTCATTGATGGAGTATCTAGAATAGCATGCAAATGAAATTAAAGCCTAAAAATTTTTAAAAATAATAAGCAAATAAATAAATAATAGGTTGAACAATCAAATCATTCCATAATTGCAATGGTATGTTACAAAACCTTGTCTATGAAGACAAGTGACGCCATTGCGAGTGCATGTATGGACCCCGTGCATGCTTCTAACTGACTGTGGCATCACGCTTGTGATCCTGTAGATGTCAGTTCAGTGTCGTCTACTTTGACCCCCCCTCAAAAGCCCTTTTTCTGTTAAAAGACTCAAGGCGATGATGGATCTGAAAAGGATGCCTGGGAAATGGTGTGTATTGTTGGTCTGGAAAGTAATTGGGAGTAGTTTTCACTCTCTGTACCATGCTTAAATTTCCCATAATGATTTCTGTCACTGTCTTGGACTAAAAGAAAACAAATGGAAAATATTTAATATATTTTTAGAGAATTATTTTTATTTCTTCCTCAATGTGCTAGGGCATGCTTTCCCATGATCCACTGACTATGGTATGTAAATAAGTGAGTAGCAGGTAGATTTCAATAGAAATGAAAAATCTACGAAAAAAAAACCTATTAAAAAATCGCCAAACAAAAAAAATGTAATACTGCTGTATAGAAGTTGAATTAGCCTGCACATTTTTTAGGGCTGTGAAATTTTATTTTATTTTTGAGACTTGCATATAAATGTACATATTTTTTCTCTCTCTCTTTTCTTCTTCTTTTTATTTCCCCCTGCACTAGAAAGTGTAGACAAAGAAATAATCCAAATCAGTATAAGTACAAAAGCAAACAAAAAAACACATAACCAATTATGTTAATTGTGTCTTGTGTGCTGCAGAGCTGTGGATATGAGTATTGAAGTAGAGCCCTTTTTAATTATTATTATTATTATTATTAATTTCCTTTAAAGAAACACTGAACTGTTTGTGTATATGTATATAAAGGATTCACATTGTTGGTCTCTACCTCTCGAGCTCAATGACTTGGTTGTTTACCTCCACGCTTTTATTGTTATGTGGAGTTTATAAAACTTGAATGTCCCTTCCGACTTTTATATTCCTATCAAACCCTGTATAAAGAAATCAAGTCATTAAAATTGCGATTGTTTGGAGGTGGTTCCCATCAACATATCCTTGTACAAAGTACCATGTTCTCACCCCAGTGTTCTTTGACTGTTAGATCACACAGCATACCCACAACGATAAACATGGTATCCTTCACCGAGAACCGTCGGATGAGATAAACATACAAAATACGTACCAACGTAAGAAGCGGGCGTACCTAAGATAGTGTGCGGATGCAAACAGAGCCTGTGAGAAGAGACTAACACGCAAGCTCGATCGGGCCAAATAGGGAAGGTACTGCACTTGCTGTCAAGTTTTTATAAGGAAGTTTGAAGTTTATACTCAGAGTTAATGGTATTTGAATACATTTTACGACATATATGACTATAATATAAAATTTGCATTCAATGCCCTGAAAGCGGAGGAGGTGATTCTTAGGGACCGGAAGGACTCTGTGGATGTGTTTTGTGTTTTGAAAAATCACTGGTCTCTTTTCAGAGTGTAGATTTGAAGTACAGTGGTGACGCTCATTAAATGTTGACATTTAAAAAAGTGTGTTGTTTCTGTCCTTATTTTACTTACAACTTAGCACTGCATTTAAAAAAAACTGATGACCAAGTTAAATTGAGTGCCAAATTGTGAACTTCAAATGGCAGTATTTGGAAAGGTGTTTAGTTTGTCTCTTTCAGGGTTAAAAATGAATTTGCTTATGTTGGTTTTTAACAATGATGGTTATGTGCTTATGTTAACAGAATGTCTCATAGAATGGAAATAGAAAGTTAAAGTTGGCTATTAATCAGTGGGGTTAATCAAGGGCTGTTAGCTTAGATGAGGGTGCCAAATTAAAGTTCATTTTGATATTAATCATATTTTGAAATTGTTATACAAATCTTTCAGAGTAAAACAAACCAACTAATCTTGCTAATGCTTATGCTTATATTTTTCCCACCAAAATGATGTCACTTCCTAGAGGATGAAGTCAGGAGGATGAAATTGAGGGCAGGAAAAAAAATCAACAGTATAAAATGAACACCAATTAAAACAGTGGTTCTCAAAATGACTTAAAATAAGACAAAACAAGGAAAAAACACATAAAATGAAGCTATTTGTTATTTTAATTCAACCTCTCAACAACTGCCTGTTTCGTTGAAGAACCAGGGTCCTCACTCTTTAGAAAACGGAGGTAGCCTAATTTCATTTTTTTTTTTTTATACATTTTATAAATATGCATTTTTCTAGCTATGGCAATCTCTAAAATATTTTAGCAGAAATTGTGAGTAAAAATATTTTTAAAAATCCTTATCCTTAATGATTATATCGTGAACAACTGGAAAATCAAGAGCCTTCAAATATTATTAAGGACAATGGATAGTCAAAAATGTTGAGAACCACTGAATTAAAACATTATTTTGTTTAAATTGTTTAGTTTTTATTAGATTAAAGGAAAGACTTCAAGGAATTTTTTTTTTTTTTCTTTTTTAACAATTCTTTTTTCTGGCATGTTCTCAATCCAAGAAGTACCAATTTTAAAGATTAAACCGTATGTTCACTTAATTCTGATACATTCACATAAAACGTTTTTTTTTTTCTTGCAACATTTTTGTAATCTATTCATGTTTAGTTGAAGTGTCAATCTAATCAAGACGTCTAAGTGTGATCATGGAATCATGGAAGAGTAAAAACAGATTAGAAAAGATGGCAAATCCTGGGGGAACGTTTCAGAAAGTGCAGCTCATTATAGGGGTTCACACCTCTTTCAAGTAACTTTGTTTCTAAATGATCTTTCATCAGGACAACCGTGATTTATGCATCTTATTTTTAACATTTTTTCTACTTGATGTAGAATTACCTGCCACAAGATGTGTCAGAGAAATCATGAAACATGAGTATTATTTTCATAGACACAACAGTTAATGCCAGTATTGTTGGATTCCTTTACCAAGGAATTTGTGATAGAAGTAGGTCAGCTAAGTGAAGATCTCATGTCATAGATATTTTAATGTTGTATTGACTTGTGAACGCCGATTATAAAGTGACAAAGGCGCAGTGTGAAGGTGCAAGGGATTCATAAACAATGACTACAGTTGTTTATTACATTGTTGGAGAGTCTGAGTATCTTATCTACTAAACAACATTCTGTCACCTATCAGCCCACACACCATGACAAAAGCAGTATAACAGAGCCGTCTTTTGTTATAAGGTCAGGAATATAGATAATAATGTCTTATTACGAGATGTGATTGACTTTTTGGTTTAATATCTTGAAAGCTCACAAAATATTATCGCTGATGCGTGGGGAATTCTTCTTGTGAGCGAGTACACACACTCACACAGCATAAGAATGACTTTGATGCTGCTGGGGCTTTTCCTGCTTAAACAATGAGTGCTTTCACTGGAGTCTCCAGGTGAAATTAGGGGATTGTAGGCCGCCATCTGGATGCTGTAGTGACTCGACGTGCAGACAACAGACAACTGATTCTCAGCACCTTTCATTTAATTTATAGTTCAAATACACAGAAGGGTTGTTTTTGTAATTGTCAGCGGTGTTCTAACTTAACTGCACCGAATTTACAAGAAAAAAATACTTTATTTATTACAAAATTTAAAATGTAATAAATAATAACACTAAGAAGAAGAAGGTGCAGTGTATAAAAACATTTTGTAATTTGTTTGTTGGTCTTTGGAATGGTCATGACAGTAAGACTGAAAGCAAAAGTTTCAATGAGGAACCTCCATCTCAATTTGTATTAATTATAAATGTAGGCCTAGTACATTGTTAAAAATTGACGGTAAATTTCCAAGATGTCATAATCTTGAATGATGTTACACATGCTTGCGCAAGTTTGCAGGCTCTCCCCTGAAATTTAAAACAAAAAAATGCATATGATCTGATCATAATATGGGAAGTTCTATCATGTGTTTCAACAATTACCCACCACAATGAGTGTACTTTCATTACATAAATAAGTTCTTCATTTAAAATAATGAGAGCGTCCACAGTTCCTCTTGTAATGTAATGTAATTCATATTTTTCATTCACGTGACTGGCTCGAAGACCTGTTACGTCGCAATATCGGAAATATTTCTGTTTTAAACCATGAAGGCTGCGTGCCAGCTTTGCGCAAGGGTTGTGCCTGTGAACGTCTTAACCTCAGTCAATTAGCCTATACAAAGTGAAGGTAAAAATTAAATAAAAATAAAAAGACAAGAGACGAAACTACTTCAACATATAAGGACATATAACTGTCTTGAATTATTCCCTTAATATTTCTCTTGTGGCCCGTACATAGTGAAAAAAGAGATATGTATTTTGCGTTAAACAGGTTGTTTTTGAAAGTCGGTGCTTGAAATAAAGCTGCTTTTAATTTTCATTGATGACTGCAGTGTTCATAATTTTAATTATAGGCCTATAATTCATTGTATAAATTAATAGACCTGTTTTAAAAGACCTAAAAAAAAACATTTTCAATGAGGAGTAGGCTAATAGCCTAATCTTTTATTATCCTCACAGCTGGTCAGTTATGCAGTGATGCGCTATGAAATTATTAAGGGGCAAATTAATTGTAATTTTATAATAAAAGAAACCTAATAATAATAATAATAATAATAATAGGCCTAATACTAATAAGAATGTAACATGCCTACATTCATTGGAAATGCCAAATCCTCTTAATTTTGCCAATATTTGATGCTTTTACAAAATATCTCTGGCCATAGTCGATACGTGATACGACGCAACCCTCCATGCATGTGGAGGTTATCGCGGGGGGCCCCTAACACGGGGCCCCCTCTGCAGTGCGTGACCTGCGTGCCCGTCCGCTAAGCCATTGTTTACACTATTGTAATATTTGTGAATAATTACAGCATTATTTTACTTAACAGACTTTAATGGTGTACAGTTACACAGCAGAGCGAGGACGTTTATTTTGAAATAACAACGTCGCGCTCAAATCAGGAAGTAATTCCACTGTTATCCTTCGCCTTTACAGCTCAAACTATGTGCATGTGACGCAGTGTTATGCGTCTTATTATGGATGTTACAACTCGAAATTTCCCAGATGTGCTCAATATTATGGTAGTGTTTAGACTCTATAATCAAAGTTAATAAAAGGTCAGGCTTTACGTGAAAGTGAGGGCATACATACTGTAACCCTCATGTCTCCTCTGGCGGGCGCTGAGCTGGTCCGCACCCCGGTGCAGCTCTACCGCTATCTGCTGCGCTGCTGCAAACTCCTGCCTTCAGCAGCCATGCAAAAACACTACCAACACGCCATCAGACAGGTACTTTTATATACGTGAAATACTGTAATTATTGTGAAGAATATAACTGAAGAAATAGTCTGTGTAAAAGACACACTGTCAGGTGTCAATGTGTTTTTGTCTTTCAGAGCTATAACAGTCATGTGGATGAGGAGGATCCAGAAAGGATTCAGATGATCATTCAAAGAGCTATATCTGATGCTGACTGGATTTTAAATAAAGTAACCTTCTTTGGCACCTAAAAAAATACCGATAGTCATTGTTTAAATGACTTCTGATCTTATTTTTTTAATCTTCCTAGTATACTAAAAAGAAGTGACCACTGTGGAGAAATGTTCATCATGAAGCTGACTCAGAACTGCAAAGGTCATGCACAGACTGCTGCTAAACACATCATAGTGAAACTGAAACCAGACCCACAGGTTATAAACAAATGCCATATAAACTCCATCCATGTAAACTTTAACAAGTATAACAAATAGCTGAGGTTTACTTGAAAAGCTTTTGTAAAAGCCTTTACGAGTATCTGATTATGTTCTGACATGTCATATACTTGCACAGTACATTTAATGTTTATTTTGTACACTTTAATGAAATGTTAATAAATACATTTAATATTACATTTGAGTATTTTGGTGTTTTTCCCCACAAAATTTAATAACAATAATTGGCAAACCCGGTTATTACAGTACCTACAGTACTGCCACCAACCTTCTCACTGATCAATTTATTAATGTGAAATAGGCAGTGCAGTGGGCTCATTTTGATGCTTTTTAAAATAATAATAATAATTTTCTTCTTGTGATGAGCAGGTATGGTTTTTATGAATATGATTGTCAGTTTTGTAACGCCTGATGATGTAAACTGTTCTATCATACTATCAAATTTTGTGGTATAGATTATGTAATAATATAAAATTATGAATGTCCGTCCAGGAATACATGATTTAATCATGAGACATTTCCTAAATCACTGCAGTATTTCTCGGAAAATCATTGACTTTATTGATAACTACTGGAAGCTTTCCTGTAAAAATTAAGATTTATGGCAGGTCAAATATGCCATGCACTTACAGATACCAATTTTTATTTTGAAGTAGTTCTGTTATCATATCAACATCACTGCTTAGGTGATAAACACATTAAAGTAATAAATGCAAGAGAAAAACAACAACCTTATGTTTAAACATGTTAAGTGATATTTTCTTGAGGGGAATGTATTATAAAACAATCAATCAATATGGTATTGTGTTTAATACCTTTATGAGGTTTTAGTTAAGGGGCTGGTTGTGAATCAGAAGTATCACACTCTTAGCTGTGAAATCCTGTAATGTGGTTGCTATGTGTGACTTTCATTAGTTGCTAAACAAATCAATGGAAGCGTCATTGCAAAATCAAAAGTACTTAGATCATTTCAGGTTTAAATAGCAATGATGTCAATTTGGGTGAATAATGCCCAAGTACTGTCCATTTTCTGCAATATAAGCCAATTGTTGCAAATAAATATAGTTGTGCAGAGGTGTGAATAATGAAAGTGATAATAGGATGAGGACTGACAATAGGAATCCACTATAATTGCTTTATGATTATAATATTTTTGCAGTTAACCTGTAAACTGACAGAAATGGCAGCTTTATCATTAAGACGCAATCAGAATATCATGATTTTCTCATGCACACAATGTCTAAAAGTATTATTCATTGTTCCTTGAAAATAATATACAGCTTTTCATCAATCTTCATCAGACTCAAATTCTGTGAGAAAGATTAATGTTTGACAATCTTTAAAGAGCTTTCATAGTGAAAGAAGGAAGAAGTTTTTATTCCACATGTGGATTTGGAAAATTCAAGGAAGTCTTCAGAGCAGTGTGGTAATAAAAGAGCTTACTGTTTTTCCCAATCGCTTAGACACATTTCTGCAAAAATAAACACGGCGAACCTCATACCTATTTATAACATGTATCTTAAACTGAGTTTACTACGAATTTATTGAACTACATATTTATTGGATAGCATTGCCTGTTCCTGTAACCCTGTTAATATAATCAAGCTTATATCAGATTATGAGATATATAATCAGAACAACCTTTGTACATTGTGAATTTGTGATGTAATGTACAGTAAATACATGAATGGGTGGAATGAAAAATTGAAACTTTTTTTTTAAAATAAAATCTGTCAAATTTGTATTTTGTTCATTCATTCATCCATCCATTCAGTGATGACTAATAATAATCGTAATACTTGAAATACAGATGTGGTTTTCTCAGACATGTCCAGATACATTGTGAGGTGTGTTTATGGTTTCTCTTTCAATTCATCAAACTGTCAGAGTTTTACAGATGCTGGAGTATGAAGATTCCAGTGTGGGTGTAAGATTGTGACATTTGATAGGAACCGTGGTCAGACTGTAATTGGACAGCTGTCCCACCCTCCCTGAGTCACAATGCCACGACCAGCACAGCTCTTGACCTGCCCTCATCAACAGGCTGTCTGGGTAGAGTATATAAGCATGTTAAAGTGGGAAAGTTGCACTGCTGAAAACTGAGAAAAGGACCTGGCACAAAGGTTAGAAATTCATGTTGTTCATGAAATTCATAATTGCAAATGTGTATATATGTGCATATATTTTTTAATATATAAAATATTATTTCTTTCTATTCTTTATTATGAATTAACAATTCAAAAACTGAAATACTGCAACATTTAATTAAAATGATTTTAAATTCAGTATATGAGGTAAATATGGGGAACCAAGCCACTAAATCCAACAAGAATGTAATACTGCACCAGATTAAGCCGAATACGGTGAGCAAAACTTTAATTAATGTGAAATACAATGCCATAAATGAAATGCAGTATCCTTATGTTCTGTTGGTATGTCCAGCAACGGGAGAACAATAATGTAATACTGAAGCAGATTACGCCAAATACGGTGAGCAAAATTTTAATGAACATAAAAAGCAGTGTCATAAATGAAATGCATTATTCTTACATTCTGTTGGTATATGCCTAGCAATTGGAGAACAATAATGTAATACTGCAGCAGATTACACAGAAGACGGTGAGCAAAACTTTAATTAACATAACAAGCAGTGTCATAAATGAAATGCATTATTCTTACATTCTGTTGGTATATGCCTAGCAATTGGAGAACAATAATGTAATACTGCAGCAGATTACACAGAAGACGGTGAGCAAAACTTTAATTAACATAACAAGCAGTGTCATAAATGAAATGCATTATTCTTACATTCTGTTGGTATATGCCTAGCAATTGGAGAACAATAATGTAATACTGCAGCAGATTACACCGAATACGGTGAGCAAAACTTTAATTAACATAACAAGCAGTGTCATAAATGAAATGCGTTAATCTTACATTCTGTTGGTTCATGCCTATAGCAATGGGAGAACAAGAAAGTAATACTGCAGCAGATTACGCCAAGTACGGTGAGCAAAACTTTAATTAACATAAAATGCAGTGTCATAATTGAAATGCAATATCTTAACATTTTGATGGTATGCCTAGCAATGGGAGAACAAGGTGAATCAATGCCCATTTTCCAAGCAAGTGAAGAACTACCAGGATGGCTTGTGCCATCAGGACACATTACATCACAGAGCGGTTAAGGCGAGTTATTTCTACATTAAAGAGTTAATAATTTTTTTTTTCTTTTTTTAGTGAACAAATGTAAATGAGACAAATTTGAACAGACTTAGCTAACCCCATGGAGTTTAAATTAAAAACGTTATTTATATTTTCATGTATATGTGTAAAGTTCCAGAATTAGTCTTAAGTTTTTATAGAGCTGATTGTGCCATTTTATATGAGATTATATTGGCAGTTGCATAGAGTAATGAGTAATAAAGTAATGAGTTATATTGAACTTTCCCTTTTATTTCAGAGCCAGATTTGCATGTCTGAAGTCTGTGAAGGCTCTATTATGACTCCAAAGGCTATGACACGCTGTCCCTCCTCCACCCTGCCAGGCTCCGATGACAACCTCATGCAAGCTATTGACTTCATCAATCAGTACTACAAGTCAATTAAAAAGTAGGAAGCACCTACTAGGCTCACCATAGACATTGAGAGGGACATGTTCAGATTATTGGTTGATCATTGTGGGTTTTCAGTGGTTGATTCTAAGAAAGTGCTTATATTCTTGTTCTTTACTCTGTTTTAACGCCATAATAAAGCAGACCATGAATTGGCTTAATTCCGAAGAGTGTAAAAGGTAGGCTGTTTGACTGTGTTATGTCTGTTATCCAGCTCAAAAATCGAGGAGCACCTGTCTCGTTTGGAGGAAGTCGCAAAGGAAATAGAGGCTACTGGCTCATATCAACTCACCACAAAAGAACTGGAATTTGGGGCTAAGCAAGCATGGAGAAATGCACCTAGATGCATTGGCAGAGTTCAGTGGGCTAATTTGCAGGTAGTTTCTCTAGTTTAGACCTAAACATATCTTAAGTGTGCCATCACATAGTTACATTCACACTACGTCTTGGTTTCCTGTTCAGCTGTTTGATGCACGTAAATGCAGAACTGCTGAGGATATGTTTCAGATGTTGTGCGATCATATTCAGTTCGCTACCAATGGAGGCAACCTGAGGTAAACCAGGAATGTGTTATTCCAGCTTTTTAATAATCCATCCATCTTGATTATCTTGGCAAATGAAACAAGATGTCACAATAAAGTTTCTTTATTTTGACAGGTCTGCCATCACTGTGTTTCCTCAAAGAACTGAAGGCCAACATGATTTCCGTGTATGGAATAGTCAGCTCATACGATACGCTGGCTATAAAATGACAGATGGTACGATAATAGGAGATCCTGCCAGTGTTGACTTCACAGAGGTAGATACCGGTCTCTGTTCGTTATAATAGATATTTTCTGCTTTAAAAAATATTTTCTAGTTGATATTTTCATAATAGATGTTATTTATGTAATTATTAATTAGATACATTATTGATATAATTATTATAAATGTATATTTTTATTTTTGCAATAACTTAAATAAAGATATAACTTTCTCCATTTTAAATCACTCTTATGTCTTGTTTTAATTTGAAATGTTCATGTACTGTACAAAATCTTGTAACTTTCACACAGATTTGCATCCAGCTTGGGTGGACACCAAAGTATGGTCAATTTGATGTGCTTCCACTGGTGTTACAAGCTAACAGTGAGGACCCTCAGTGTTTTGAAGTTCCCCAACATTTGATTTTGGAAGTTCCCATGGAGCACCCACAGTAAGTAGCAATAGTTTCGCACTCCAGCTGAATGGAAAAGCATGCTTGTTGTAGATTAAAATCACTAGTTGATTGATAACGCTCTATTGCTTTACATCACTATGCATTGATGGTTCTAGTACAAAGACACAAAGTCAGACGTTCAGTAACGTGTGTTTCGAGTGCAATGTTGTTTACACAGACTACCAGAGCTCTTGTTTGAGGTGCTCAGATTTCTGAAATGACTTGCATTCCACTTGATTCTGCAGTAAATCTGTTTGCTTCTTGAAGAGAAAATTATTCAAGGCTTTTCCCTTTAAGAGCTTGCATTAAAAGGATCTATAAAATCAAACCCTCCTAGGCACTTAAAGATCAGGCTAGAGTGGCAAAGCCATTCAAACCTAAGACAGCCTGTCTCTATGCCACATTCTTTCATCCAGACCTAACAAATGAGTTTAACCAATGAGGCCCAAAGTCATGTTCTCAAACCAGTCTCATTCTAACACTTCACTTTAGAAAGCTACCTAAGTAGTTTAGTTAAGTACTATGCGAATTTGACTGAAGTGCTGGTTGAATGAGCCATATATTTGTGCAACCATGCAGACCAAGAAATGTTATCGATTTGTATCAGCAAAATAGATTTACATCCGAAGTATTGCATTCAATTACATAATCAAGGGTCTGTTGGAACCATTGCAAAATATATGCCAATGCAAATAAAGTTGGATGGTTTCATGCACTTCCTCAGGTACAAGTGGTTTAAGGATTTGAACCTCCGATGGTATGCATTGCCTGCGGTGTCCAACATGTTGCTGGAGATTGGTGGTCTTGAATTCCCAGCGTGTCCTTTTAACGGTTGGTACATGGGCACTGAGATTGGAGTGAGGGACTTCTGTGATACCAAACGCTACAATGTTCTTGAGGTGCTACAACATTCTTAATGTTACGGTAGAGAAGAGAAAGTTTAGAGGTTTTTAGAAGTTTTCCTTTATTTTGTTGTCTCACAGCGGGTTGGCCGTCTAATGGGTTTGGAGACACAAAAACTATCCTCGCTATGGAAGGATCAGGCTCTGGTGGCCATCAATGTCGCAGTGATGCATAGTTTTCAGGTAAAGTGGATTTACATAGCAAACAAGTGTAAAACACTTTGGTAAGAAAGAGAGTATTTTGTATTGGTATATTCAGTAAAACCAGTTGAGATTCGGAAACATATGATTTTTAGAAAAATCGTAAGCATGAAGGTCCACTCCGAAACCTAATAATCAGTGGGGTCTAAGCAGATCTTACAAAATAACATACAAATGAGATCATACGATTTCATACGAGTTAGCCACCAAATTACCAAAACCATGAGAGTTTTAAATTGGCTTTTAGATGCTGAACTTAAATATAGACAATACAAAAAATTGCCTAACTTTTTAAATTTCATAGATTCGTTAATAGGGCAATATGTGCAAGGAACTAAATCTTAAACAATATAAATGTTTATATTCAGATTAAAGTCATAGATTTATAAAAACTATTTAAAACTTCATAACATTCTGAAACCTCAAAGCTAAAAATGTATGATTTTTGTATTAAATTAATATTGTCTAAAAAAAAATGCGGTAACACTTTATTTTAAGGTGTCCTTGTTACACATGTTACATGTACTTACAATTATAGTAACATTTAATTATGCATAATTACATGTAAGTAACCCTAAACCAAACCCTAATACTAACCCTAACCATATAGTAAGTACATGTGTTAATTAATATTACTCAGTACTTAAATGTATAATTACACTGTAACAAGGACACCTTAAAATAATGTGTAACCAAAAATGCTTTTTGTTGCAAACTTGTTCAAAATGCAAAAATAAAATAAAAAGGTATTCTTTACTGGAAAGACAATATATGGGTAAAGATTAAATTGAACCTTTTGGTAAATGTTTATTCCCAGTTTTTATGACCTTTTTGACTTACTGACATACAGAAAAATAAGGTCACCATTACCGACCACCATTCTGCATCAGAGTCCTTCATGCAGCACATGGAGATGGAGGTACGTCTGCGAGGAGGCTGTCCAGCTGACTGGGTCTGGCTGGTGCCACCGATGTCTGGATCTCTAACCCCTGTGTTTCACCAGGAAATGCTGAACTACATTCTGTCACCCTTTTTCTACTACCAGGTACAGTATCATCCTAAGTATCTAAGTATCATTGCCAGACTAGTGGTATGTAGCTGTGTGAAATATGATGATGTCCAAACAAAACTTTTGGGATGTTCTTGGCGTAACATGTCTCGTCTGTTGCCATGTAAAGCCTGAACCGTGGTTGACACACAAGTGGAAGAACAAGAAGAGAAATGTGAGGAAGCATACAATCAGCTTCAAAGGACTGATCAGGTATAGCAATATCATGTTCACACTTTCTCAGCCAGAACAACACAGTGTTGTTCTTTCAGAAGAAATCTGTCTGCAACAATGTAACGAATGCTTGAAAGGTTAGCTGTGAACATTTGGTGAGTAGCCAGTATAGCTAAAATTCTTGTTTTCTTTTCTCTCTTCTAGAGTAGTGCTCTTCTCTCAGATACTCATTAAATCAGCCCTGGCCAAGAGGGTGCGTTGCACTGTTCTCTACGCCACAGAAACAGGGAAATCACAGACTTTTGCTAAGAGACTAAACACCATGATGAACTGTGCCTTCAGCTCCCAGGTAAGAGGACCGTCACCCCTGATTCATATGTAATTTATCATTCCTAAGACTCAATTTGAGCATTATTACCACCACTTGGCGGTGGTGGTAATAATGAAAGTGGGCGTATGTGACACATTCATAATTTCACCCACTTTTAAAAGTAAAACTAGGAAATTGGCTCCTTGAGCTAAGTCTGCATGGTCTAAACCTAAACGTTACATTTGCATTTTAGTTAAGTTGATGAGAATTATTTATATGAAAAATTTGTCAATTTTATTATGATTTGAATATAATATATAAAAATAATAATACTATATTTCTATTTTGAAATTGTATATATATATATATATATATATATATATATATAACTAATAAATACACTGTGTATTTGGACATTGTCTTTTCAGCTAACACACATATTTGTGATTCATAAATTATTTATCATTTATACATTTATACAGGTCGTTTGCATGGAGGACTACAACTTCAGTGAACTTGAGAAGGAAAGCCTGTTAATTGTTGTCACCAGCACCTTTGGCAATGGAGACTGTCCAGGAAATGGAGAGGTGTGGACATATTTATGCACAGTGGCCTTATAGTAATGCTAGTAATGAAAGACTATTATCGCCAAACATAATTAGTTCATTTTCAGTTTGTCAAAATGAAAATGTCTTTAGGAAGAAATCATTTGCTTTTGCAGTGATTATTTGTACAGGAACCACAAAAACTAGAATGTGATTCTTGTTTGCTGTTTGCTGACATGATTTTTCTTCTCCTCACAGAGTTTCAAGAAGCAGCTTCTCAGCCTGAACAACCTCAGAAATAAAGTCAGGTTAGTATTTAAACCCCCTTAAATTTATTTTCTCTCCACTCCTGTTTAGAGTACATTGTTTGAATCACTTCTGTCCCCCATACAGGTACTGTGTGTTTGGTCTCGGCTCTCGAATGTACCCACACTTCTGTGCGTTTGCCCATGCAGTGGATGATAGGTTTGCAGCACTGGGAGCCATTCGTGTGTCTGCCACAGGAGAGGGAGATGAGCTGAACGGACAGGAGGAAGCTTTCTCAGCCTGGGCTTGCACTGCCTTTAAGGTCTCAGTAATAAAATAACATTGAGCATCCATTGTTTTCAGTGCATTAAATTGGTGAACGATAAAATTAATTATGAAAGTGTTTTCTCTATGTATAGAATGCATGCAAGGAGTTTAATATTCAAGGTCAGCTTCCAGGAAAAGAAGGTCTGGCAGATTCCTGGGATCCACAGAGGCACAGAGTTCAGAATGACAGTTGTACAGTTGACCAAATCACAGGTACATTTAGACCCTCGTCCTTATAAAAACACATCATTTAGGGAAAAATTATGGTCAAAACTTGATGAAACCTGTAGAAGTGGTCAAAAAGGGAAGCAAAAATGCTTTATTTATAATATTCTTGCTGTTTCTCATTTTAAAGACATTTTACTCAACAAAATATAATACAGTTCAATATTAATTACATAGGAATATGTAAATGCTTGATGACATTTTGAAATTTTTGAGTGAAATATGTAGTTTAGCAATCATTCTAATAAGTATTTCACAATCAGAAATGAGAATTCAAGAATCATGTCATTAACAGATTTCTGTAGTGATTATTATTGTCTGGCTTGGCTTTACAGCTCTGTCAGCTCTCCATTCTAAAGTTGTGGTTCCCATGAAACTAAAGAGAAAGCAGAATCTACAGAGCCCAAAGTCAAGGTTCTCAAACCAACTCATATTCATGCATCTGTTTTTTATTGATAAAAATAGTAATAATAATAATTATTGTCAGAAACAGATGCCTTGTTATGTTGTGTTTTGCTTGTTTTCTCAGAACACAGTATTTATTACATTTTTTATGTGTTCTCAGTCGTGCTACAATATTGGTGGAGTTAGAGATGGATGGGAACACAGAGCGCTTAAACTTTGTCCCTGGAGACCATGTAGGGATTTTCCCAGGGAACTCATCTGAATTAGTAGCTGGCATCCTGAAGCATCTGGCCAGTGCCCCTCCTATAAATCAGAGCCTAAGCTTGGAATTCCTCAGTGCCTACCCTGGTACTGAACCATCTTACCTAATTACATAATGGAAGTCTTACACATAATAACATAATGATACCTAATAATGCTGTCCTGCAGATGGTGAAAGGTGGCAGAGAGTTGAACGAATACCACCATGTCCTCTTGCCCAAGCTCTTACCTACTATCTGGATGTCACCACCCCACCCTCACAAAGCCTCCTCCGCAAACTCTCAAAGATGGCAAAGCTTGAAGATCACAGACAGCGCCTGCTTGCATTAGCAACAGTAAGTCACTTTTTATAATCAAAAATGTTCCAGAACTATGGATGAGAATTGCAAAAAAGTTTGGTTCCTTAACGATTTTGTTAGGTAATTTTAATAATAAATAATTTTTTTTTTTAATTCTTGTAAAAGGTGTGTTTGCACAGGCTTTTTAATAACTTCTCACATCCACAGACCCAACTTATTAGAGTCATTCATTCAGGATTCTGACTACACTGGTCACTGTGTGTGTTTGATTCACTAAAAATCAGAAAGATTCTGATTCATTAAAAAGAACCAACCAACTCACTCAACTCAAATCATTATTTTGGAAACTGGACTAGACTGGCTGCATTCACTAAAAAGAACTGCTTCATTAGATTCAATCATCTGGAAATCAGACTACACTGCTCGCTGTATGTGTTTGATTTATTTTAAAGACCCGGCTTATAAGGGTCTTTTTTTTTTTTTTTTTTTAGGATTGGACTATACTGGTTGTGCTGTACGGTTTTGATTCACTAAAAAAACGTTCCTAAGAATCAGTTGTTATAGTGCTGGACTTTGTGTTTTATTCACTAAAAAGTTTCGACTCATTTAAATCATAATTTCGGGAATAGGTCCACACTGATTGCTATGAGTGTTTTTGAGTCGCTTGAAAGAACAGACTGTCTGTTTCGTGCTGTAGATTCTGTAGAGGTGTTGTGGCACAGTTAATTAGTGCTGGAAACCCTGTCAGAGTTTTTAGCATCCCGAATGCACGTGCGAGAACCAGTAACAGAACCAAACGTCATTCGGTTCCAGTATTTTTTTTAAATGGAACCAATTTGATTTTGCAATTTTGTAAGACAATGCTATATAACTGTATTTGTGTAAATTAATATTTCATTTTAAAATCCAAAGCAGTGAGTGTGCTAAAAGTGCTATTGATAATAAAATGCTTTATATTCAGTACGTGTGTTAGGGGGTATTTAACTAGAATTTTATTGCATATATTAATGAAACATAAGCCAAACACCTGTTTAAGTCTTTCATAAGTCTATTCTTTCAGAAAATGTCCCATTATATTGAAAGTGGCAATTTACATAATGGTTTATGAACACTTATGCAGAAATTAATTCTGCTTATTTTTCATGAAAAAAGGAACATTCTGTGGAATTATCATGGGTTGTTTTCACTTTGTTTATTGGTTAAATACATACCAAGACATCCCTCTACAACAGGATTTCCAAGTCTACGCAACATGGAAGGAGTTCCACAAACCTACTTTCCTTGAGGTGCTAGATGAGTTTTCCTCTCTGGAAATTTCTGCTGCCTTTCTCCTCAGCCAGCTGCCTCTAGTGAAGCCACGTCTCTACTCCATCAGCTCCTCCCCAGACCTCCACCCTCAGGAGCTCCACCTCACTGTGGCCGTGGTCAGCTATCACACACAGGGTACTGGAAACATATTCCCAGTGATCAATTAGTTGATACCTGAACAGATGAACTTTCTAGACGAGAACTTCTAGAATCACTGAAGAGTTTAATCTGTTGTTATCATATGTTCTGCTCTCTTTAGAGGGAAAAGGTCCGCTGCATTTTGGTCTTTGTAGTACCTGGCTCAATACCATCAAAGAAGGAGACATGGTGCCATGTTTTGTCCATAGGTACCCTTCATTTCACATTCCCAAGATGTATAGGATCTTTTTTTTCTGATTATAACTCACTAACTTGTTCCATTTATGCAACAATTCCAGCTCTGATGGTTTCCACCTTCCATCCGACCCTAGTGCTCCCTGTATTCTTGTGGGAGTTGGGAGCGGCATTGCTCCATTCCGTAGCTTTTGGCAACAGCAATTCCATGACATGAAAAAAACAGGTATTGAATTTCATCCCTTATCACATTCAAGTGGTTTCAACAGTGCATCTGAAATTGGCTTGCCTCAAGTTGCTGAACCTCAAGTTGTGTTATTTCTTCAAGGTCTGAAAGGGAATCCAATGACACTCGTGTTCGGGTGTCGAGGTTCAGATACTGATCATCTTTACAAAGAAGAGACTCTGGACATGAGAGATAATGGTACCCTAAGCAGTATCACAACCGCTTACTCTAGGCAGACTGGACAACCCAAGGTAAACACACTTGATACAGCTGCATCTATATCTAGAAATCTCTGTATATCTGTATATATCTAGTAATATTGATAGTGTATCTCAAAAATAATTCTAAACAGCTGTTAACACTCTTTTCACTATTCTTGCTCTCTCTCTCTCTTTTTTTTTTTTTTGCATTCTTGGTACAGGTTTATGTCCAAGATATCTTGCGAGAACAATTGAGTGACAAGGTCTTTGAGGTTCTGCACCATAATCCAGGACATCTGTATATCTGTGGAGGCATGAACATGGCCCATGATGTGGCTGCCACTATCAAGGAAATCCTAGTCAGCCGGCAGGGCATCACTCTTACTCAGGCTGAGGAATATCTGTCAAGGCTCAAGGTGAACCTTCTAATTGTTAACACATTTTATAGCTGCTTCAGATAATAATGTCTTAAAGCATTTATGCTCCTGCGAGGGCTCAGTTGTCCTGAAATGGTGAATTGTTTACAGTCTGTAAGGATATATGGTCAATAATTTTACATGATTATACTTTTTGTTCACAGAATGAAAAGCGGTACCATGAGGACATCTTTGGATCCTAGTGCTTGAGATCAGCTGGACCATCTCAGTCTTTTCAATATTCAAACACACCAAAAATGGGAGATTTTAATATTTTAACATGTATTTCCACACATGCTAGCATAACCAAATTTACAGCTGTTATTTATCAGTTTAAATTATTTTTTAATGCTTCGCTAACTATCAGAAGACAGTAACCAGTTTTAAATTTCAGTTGCGCAGATGGGGTATGTTGTAACACTGCGTTAAAAAAATATATACTCTGAACCCCATGTGGATTTACACAATTTGAGAGTCAAAAAGTGTTACTTTGTGCCCCGCTCTCCCCTAATCTTTTGATTTTCATACAGCTTCCAAATACCAAAACCTCTCTTAACTTCAAGTAAAACTGTTAAAACTGTTTGTTTTTGGGAAGATTGACCTGCACTTCTTTAGAGTAGTGCTTTTATCGCTAACTAATCGCAGGAACAATTCTTTTGGAGCAATCTACAGTTTCCATGCTCAGTTGAACAACAGGGATCACCTCTATCTGAGGGCTTCAAAAACCCGACCTTTTATACAAAGTTTACTGTATTTTCTCAGCTTTAACAGTATTGTTAATGTTTATGCTTAATTTAGATTTGAATCCCACATTTTCAGTGTAGTCTCAGACAATGTGTTCATCATGCCAAGCCATGAGTATACTTTCAACTCTGTTTCTGTTGTTTAATACTTTCTTTTATAATTACATATCAGTGTTACATATGAGTGTTGTATAAAACTGTAATGGGATATTACGGGATATGGGATAAATATTGCATTTATAATAAACAGACTTTATACTATCAAAAACACGTTTTTTTTTCTTTCGCATTCTTGTAGTTTGTCTTTAATGGATATCCGTAGTAACACCGGAAGTAGTGCATCGGCTGAGGAAGATCGTAACTCTAGGCAGATCGCAAACCGGAAGTGCTGCGTGAGAGTGTTTTGGGCGACGGATTAGCAACAACTGTACCGTGGATGCAACTATCATGGGTGAAAGTACGGATGGAGACAGTGAAGGTATGCCTTGGCAGGATGTGTCAAGGAAGAGGAAAGATAGGAGTAATAGCTCTGGAAGTTCAAGTTTAGGGTTGGAGGTGAGTGAGGTGAGCAAAAAAAACAAAGGCTGCAAAGTCAAGCGTGAGGGTGGATGAAGAAATGGAATGGAAAGTAATGGTAACATTCAAAAGAGAAGGGGTACATTTTCATCCATTAAAGTTGACAAAAGCTATTGAAAAAGAAATGGGAAAAATAAAGTTTGCCAAATACTTAAGTAATAGGAGGTTACTGATTTTTACTAATTTCTGTGATATTTATTTTTATCTACTTAAATTTGAATTATTATATAGACAAATTATGGCTGGAAGTCGACTTGAGAAATTCGGGACTGTATTTACACGGTAAGCATTAGTGACAGCATGTGCTTCACGAGTTCATTTCAAGGTTAATGACAACAGTATTAAGTTCAAAACGTGTATAAAGACAAGAGATCGGTTTATTATAAAATATATTATGTAATGTGAAAGTGTACTATGTAAAAACTTTTTATGAAGTTGCCAAGAACGCTTATTAAATCGTAAATAATAAAGCAGAGACCTTTTCTGTAGTGTATTGTTCGAGCTCTTATAGTGAGGCTGAATGACTGATGGTTGTTTGTAAAGGGTTCGTGATTTAATGCGAGCTGGAGTCATCAAGCACGAGGAAAGGCCCATCTGGTTTGATGTGTATGCAGCTTTTCCTCCTAAGAGAGAACCTCTCTACGAGAAAGCTGTGAGACCACTGAAGATACATGCAGCAGATAATGTACCTGACATCTTATACAAAGAGGATGAAATACGAGCGTAAGTCCAAACATACCCGTTCAAAACGCTAATATATCATCTTTAGTAACTTCATTTAAAATTTGGTTTCAACAGTATTGCTCTATCTATTGGTCTTATGGTCACTCTGTGCTCTTCATTTGTACTTCATATCCTTTGGCATGTCTTTCTTGATGCATTTATTATATGTTATGTCTTTTGAGCTTGACGCTATATACACTACCGTTCAAAACTTTGGGGTCAGTAAGAAATTAATACTTTTATTCTGCAAGGATATGCATTGAATTGATCAAAAAGTGACCGTACAGACTTATAATGTTACAAAAATAAATGCTGTTATTTCGAACTTTCGATTCATCAAAGAATCCTGTCATGGTTTTAACAAAAAACAAGCAGCAAAACTGTTTAAAAGTATTTATAAATAAATGTCTCTTGAGCATCAAATCAGCATGTTAGAATGATTTCTGAAGGATCATGTGACACAGAAGACTGGAGTAATGGCTGTTGAAAATCCAGCTTTACATCACAGGAATAAATTACATTTTAAAATCTATTAAAATAGTACATTTTGAAAAAAAATTACGAATATTTCACAGTATTACTATTTTTAGTGTATTTTGATCAAATAATGCAGCCTTGGTGAGCATAAAAGACTTCTTTAAAAAGCATAAAACAGTCTTACCGACCCCAAACCTTTGAATGATAGTCTATACGTGACTTAAAATTACATTAACTAGATTTTAGTGCTGTAAAACCTCTGACCCATTTTTGGGTCACTGACCCTCCAGTTAAACTTGCATGCGCACTGGACCTTTGCAGTAAATCTACATGACTTTTTTTCTGTGGTTGTAGGAAGTTCTTTGAGGTGTATGGTAATGGACCCAGAGCTTTTGAGCTCCTCAAGTCCAACTTTGTATCACCATGTCAGAGGTAAGTTATGATGAAAAATTACACGTTTTTACAGTACTTTGCCATTTTTTTTAAATGGAATTTTCTATGTGGCTTTTGATTTAGTTATGTTACTGTATCTTTGTGCAGGTTTGTTATGAAGTACAGTGAATTAGAAAGCAGAGGGGATGTCAAACCTGAGCTGCTGTTTGAAGAGACCGCAAAAGCGCTGCTTGCAGAGGGCATTTATTTAAGAAAAAGAGGAGTACCTGCAGTGAGTCTGAGAGCTAAATTATTATTTAGACTACATGATTTAATTTTGTATTTGTATTTGTCCATAATGTTTCTTTATAACCAGCAGGTGGCACCAAAGTCTCGGGACCTTTTGTTGAACATGAAATTGACTGACATGTTGGAAGAGCAGCAAAGAGACACAGACATGGAGACAAATATTCCAGAGAAACAGCCAGAGGCAGAGATGGTGAACCCTGACAGACAGACATCGTCATAAATGTACCACTTCTCTTCAGTTAGGACAACGTAAACTGCACCTGCCTCTAGCACATCAGTGTGCCGGTCAATCATGCAATCAAACACTGGGACACAGATATAGTTTATACAGTTGTGGACACTATGTAAGCCCAGATGAGCAACATGTCTTTCCCCTTCTTGGTGTCAAATGAGTGATGATGAAGACATGTTTGCACGGTCAAAATGGTTTTGGCTTGAGGTCTTTAAAGCCCAGCAGCTGTGGTTTAGTGAATGCCTTTATAATACAGATCTAGCAAGTGTTTCATTTCTGTGAAAGTGTCTAATGTCTTGTGTAATAAAATATCTGGAGTGTTTAATGAAAGTCATTTCAAGTCCATTAACAACAGGAGTGGAAAAGTATCTGCATTGTAAATACTCAATAAAATGTTGTATTTCCAATTTTTTTGAGTCACTCCATAAACTTATGATTCATATTGATATTAAACTGTTTTTTTTTTTTTACACTGAATCCTTGTTACCTGTGCAGTCTTGCATTTAAATACGTCCTCAACAGGATCTTAAAGAAACTTACTTGTGGAAGTTTTTATGTATTTTCATTGTTTTTGTGATGTTAAAATTTATGATAGCTGATCTGCACAGACAACAATGAATTTCATTCAGAATTACCATTGTCCTTAACTTTTTTTTCCACTCCTGCTGAGGTAACGTTAAAATCAAATATTTGGATATTTATATAATATTCGGATACTTCTGAATTATTGACAATTGCTCACCTTCTGTGTTTGGAGCATCTCACTAAATTAACCCTGCTAAATTAAGACACCCTGTGAGCTTGCATTGCTCACTAGCGATAGAATAATAATTAGATGATAGGACAATAGATAAATATCAAGACAAATATCACTCTGTGAAGTTTCAAAAAGATGAATCAGTTCTGCTGCCATGACGACCAAAACTTGAACATAGAAATGTTAAACAATTACCCAAAAATGAAGAACTGATTTGACTAGGTTAGTATTCTGTAATTGCCTAGACATGAATTTAAAAAAAAAACCTGTGGTATGGACTGAAGACATTCACCATCTAATCTGGCAGAACTTTTAAATGTCTCAAGCAGACATCATATCCAAGATGACTGACAGTTGTATTTTCTGCTGAAGTACTGAATAGTTACTTTTTTGTAAATGGCAAGCACATGGCTTTGTGGGATAGTGAATGTCCTTGAACAGACACTGATTCATCACTGCAGAATTTTTTTTAACATAACCATTTCAGTGTAAATATTTAAATGTGTAAGCGTTCCAGGAATAATGCGAGGATTTAAGGATGTGAATCATTCCTGCAGTCACTGTAAAATTCAGATATGACACATCAAATGGACATGCACTGATTGATTGTTAGTTTTTGCCTGTAAAGACTTTTTTTCCAAAAATTCCATTAGTGGGCAAACATATTTGCTGCTGACAGAACATCAGATGCAAATACAATTAATGTTTTGTGTGCATGATGAATAAACAAAACTTTTCTGTTTCTTTATTTTGAATATTAATTTGTCACATTTTAAAGGACTTTATATTAACATTGTATTGTACTAAAATTAAAATTCCGATCTTTAAATTTGAGATTATTTTATCCAGTATCTCTAGACATGATGAGGACGTGGAATAATGCCGTTATGGAACAGTTTTGTAATATCTTCAGGTTCTCGTTCTTCATTGCCGTCTAAGGGGCGTTATAATTACGACAGTAACAAATTTCGTATGTATATTATTTTGTGACGCTAGTTTGAAAGGAGTTCAACGGTCCTTTTCCGAAGACCGCTAGATGGCAGTAATGTGATGTCTATTGACTCAAGTGTGATATTTGTCGGCTGTTCTGT